TAACGTGCGGAGTCTTGCGCAGTCACCTCCAGACTTTTGTTCTTAAAGCGTAATAGGTTTGTTACTACCTCCGAGTTTATCTCTGACGGTGACCTTCTCTGAGAGTTAGAATAATAAACTAAATCTTTTGGTGCCCGACCAGTCTTCTCTTTAGCTCAAATCATTCTATATCGAAGGACGGGTTGAATAAACCCGTGAGATTGGCAGTTTAAAACAACCATCTGCACACGCATTCATCCGCCAATAAAACACTTTAACTTCGCATGAATGCACCTTTGCGAATCTTGAACCTTTAATACGCAAGTTTTCGAAGGCGTTTCCCGAGCTCTTCGTCGCACTATTTGATACTTACAGGACCAGAAGAAGAAGACTCGATCGCTGGACAAATACGTTTATTCGCCTGACGGTTCGACATCCGTCGTGGATTCATCATCAGAGACATGAGTAGGAAACAATAGGAAACGTTTCTGCCACTGTCTCCTACTTATGTCTCTGATGAATTTGCGACGGATGTCGAACCGTCAGGCGAATAAACGTATTGTCCCAGCGATCTAGTCTTCTTGTTCTCATTTGCTTCCTGGGACTCGCATGTTCGTTTGTATTACTTACAGGACCAATTAACGTAAGCAACCGTGTCCAGCACATTATTCCATAATTGGCTTAAGTCTGCACTAATAGGCATTCCCAAGGAAGCCGGTTTCCTCTTAATTAAGTATCTTGGGATGCCCGTACTTCAATACATGTACATCTTGATGCTTTTGCCTGCAGAATCACTCCACATCGCAAGAATACAATGTCCCCGCCCTCTGCCAGGACAGATATGCCCTCATCCGAAGTCGTACCCCACAGGGGAAACTCCAACAATTCGGACTTCTACTGCCGCGTCCGAAATGTCTATGTCCTCCCGGAATTCTCCTACTGTATTTCAGCCCCAGATGACCGGTTGGAGTAGCCGGCCGGACAACTCACGCGCATTTTCCGTACCCTAAGAAACTATAGCATTTTCTGCTATACATGACCCCTCCCTCCCCATCTCTGCCTAACATCGACGATTTCATGCATACTCTCTGTTTGCTGATTGGCCTGCGCAAGACCGACGCCCAGAATGTTTACATCAAAATAGTTGCACTGTGTGCGCTCACAGGGTGCTAACCATACAAGTTCATCACTGATGTTTATATGAGACGCTCAGTTTGCATTTTTTACCCTGAGCTCATAGCTAGTTCTGATACCGGATTATAACCACCTCATGCAGACTTCAAACTTTTGTAGTTAGCATTAACTAGTGCCGTTTAATGGGGGTATTCTAAGTGCGCGCTGCGGTATGGTTTTGCTCTAACACAGTCTTCCGAAAGCCAGTTGGAAAAGTAAAATGCCCGATTACCGGTTACCAACTGCTGTTTAATACTGCTGCAAAAGGCTTGACAAATTATTTTTTTGAAGAGTCGACTCTATTTAAATAAGTATGAGATTGGCATTTCGAGTCTGCGAAAAAAGCCTCTACAGTAAATGACATGACATGACAGTTCAAAAGTCGGTTTCGACTATGTCCAAAGTATGTTTCAGTAGGCTGAAGTCAAACGCGGTGACCTGCGCGTGCTATTAGAATTACTTTTCATCTACTGCAATCTTTCTCACTCTCCAGCTGGGCCCAGCGTCAGTAGATAGTCAAGCTTATTGGAGACGGGAGAGGACGCCAGTGACCAGCGCAGCTGGAGCCGCCCCTAAACGTGCCGCTACACTTGCCGCGGATTCCATCTGAGTGCCACAGAGGCCAAATTAAGAAGGTACCATTGCAAGCTCACTCTCAGTCGGCCCATCAGACACCACACGTTATACTGACCGCGTGGTCCGAGCTATTCCGTCAGTTGTCAACCGTCCAAGTAACCACTGATAGCTTCAAGCACGTCAGATTGTTTGTAGGGAGGAAAGTGCGCTGAGCCTTTCGACCTCACCCTCTCCATACCCCGCGCATCAGGCCAGCATCCAGGCCGGTCAATTTTATGATGAAGTTTGATATAACATTTCACAAGCAGGGTATAACACGTAAAAAAAAGCAGCTGATTTGGTTAGCATTCAGAAACACTGGGAAATGTCAGACCCTCAATAGAGGTCTTAAGCTCATACCAGTTTTCTCGATGCGGCCAGAAACATTACCCGGACATTAACAAAGTAGCTGCATTCGTAATTGAGCTCAAAAGTCGACTATTTTGGTAAGTTTCTTAAATAAAAGTCTGATGATGAAACCTTAAATCAGGGGTCGGGAACGTATTCCTTGCGAGTCAGGTGTGGCTCCTTTGATAACTGTATCTGGCACTCTCAGATAAAAATGGAATTAGAAACCTCAGATTTTATGATTTTGGTCCCACAAAATTAAATCCAGAGGCTTATTACACTGAAATTTAATTAAATTCAATCTTAAATATATATTTCCAAATATTTGTTTTCTTGGCTGTCTGACTCAAGCAAGTTCCCGACCTCTGCTTTGAAATAAACCCATGGAAAATTATATTTATTGCCAGTATACCGAAAGATACCGAAAAACCTAAAGCAATCACAATTATTTTGAGAACGATCTGAATTTCAACGTAATTGCACCCCCGTTATAATCACATGACAAATATACACCAAATGGTACACTTACGACTGCATCTGAGAATTCCACTTAATGGTCACTGATCGGCATGTCCATACCTGAGCTGATTAAATATATTAAATCCGTGGAGTCCTAATCGGCGCAGCCTTCGAAACCAAACTCAACTAATGCATTAACGGAAGAAACACCAGGGATTTCCCGTGAAATCTTATTTGGAATGTAAACGCTTACGTTGGGGTGTTTGGCATCGGCCGGAATTTATATTACTCGTTATATAAATGCATATTTTTTCCGAAATATTAGTAAAGGAGTAGTTTCAAATATATTTCTACTTGAGCTGCTATATTTATTTTGGTCTTTACGTAATCACCCCGATTTTTCACATTTTCGGAATTGTTTATTCCTCTAGAAAGTTCATACTTCTTAACAACGTAATATTTATTTTGTACCAAAATATCCTTTCTTTTTAAGAATGGTTGTTTACTTACTGTTCACGCAGCGTGGGCTGATTTCATGCAATAGGATTTCCCTTGTTTAACTTATTAGATTTCATGAACTAGGGAATTCGAAATGAATTAATTTGACCAATGGCCAAATACAAGGGAATTGACCAACGTCGGCATACTTCGATGAAAGTACTAAAACACCCACATTTGACAAGTATTTAGACGCAGTGCCCAAAACGCGTCAACATCGAAGTAAATATATTTATATATATATATATATATGTATTTATATATTTGTTTTTTAGTTAATTATTCTCTACATTTGCACCAGTGTTATCGCAGAACCTAAAAGGTAAGTCGTAGAAACCAAATGCAAAGAAGTAGCTGGGATCGCTGTGAGAGGACTTTATTTGTCTCACGTTATGAAACGCACTCGAACCTAAGTTGATGCTGATTCGTTCGCCGAAACTGTGTTCGAGCATGACTCCAAAACGTCAGACGAAGTATATTCCTGTCCCAAAAATCACGTCAAATTTTGTCTCAATAAAATTACATACAGTTTGGTTCCACGCTGATACAAATTCACGATTGTCACACGACAATCTCGTTATGCTTAAATCACTAAACATATATACAGGTGTTTACGGTCCACACGCGCCGTTAGGTGACACACAATACTGCGAAAAGTGTTAACCACTGCCTTTGTGGCAACACACGTCAGAAAAAAAGTGTAAAATAATTTAAAATGAGGAATTCGTTTCTTGTTACTGGAAAAACATGCAAGCCCTTAACAGTTCATTCACCTTGTAGTAATTGTCTTGAGATAAGATTTTCCTTCTCTAGAAGGAATCAATTTGAGAACTTTCTGCTTATATAAATGGAATCTTATAGCACAATTCACAAAAACTCAGGTTTTGCTATGTGACAGTTAATCTCATGGATGTCCGGCAATCTTCGATTCTGCCAATTCTTGTTTGTTTTCCTTCGATGACCAAGATTTGAAATGCAGTAATTTTAGGTAAAAGGCTTTCTGGTCTAGAAGTCTGCCCAACAAATCGAAATACCAGACCAACTTTAAAGTGAACTACCGACTCAAATTTCGATCACGTTTTTGGATGAGTTAGATCATCTGCTTTGTATTATCAATTGCTTTTTCAATACAACGAACCCTAAGTGGCTATTTTCTTGTAGCATTCAGACAAACTTAAGTACCCAATATTTATCTTAAGGTAGAAGCATTGCTGTGAAACATTAATAATGGGTTACGGATATCTTATGTCTTGATATTTCTTCCAAATTATCGTGTGCATCCTACTCTAACAGCACTTAAAATCCAATGCGGAAGGTGTAATTTTAAATAGTTGATAAACCTGTCCTCTGACGGGAACACAAGACACCACTTGAGATTTACCGGGGACCACTATGTCTAAGGAAGCAACATCATTTTGCATACGGAATAATTTCAAGACAAACCCGTAGGCGGAAATTCTTAATCTGGCGGGAATCAGTTATTTGATTTCCCAAGCAAAACATTACATAGTAACGCCCAGCCTGTAATACAGGAAGTGCTCAGCTAAATTTCAGTAAGTGTGTATACTCATGTCCTACACTCAGCATAAATCTAAACTCTAGCTTAATCCAAAATTACCCTTAACTTAAACGAAACACTACCGCTGACCCCAATTAACAGAACCAACTTTGATGCATGGTAATCATATTTCCAGCGGTGGCAAGTGGCCCATTACCTTGGCCTTTTGTTTAGCCACTATATATTTGATCAGAAAAGTGCTAGTAAATTTCGTCTAATTTTGGACAGTCATCCGACAAGACGTTAGTACAATTAGTAAGAATTAGATGCAATTACTGAACCCATATGAAAAGATAGCATCCGATACGGGTAATTCGTACACAGGTGTTTTAGTTTTATAGGATGCGATTGCCTGACTACTGCCTATCCATGACAATAAACGAATTCCGCTTTATCAGCAATAATTTCCCATTGGTACACTTTTTTCTCGATGGCCGGAGTGTGATTCTTGAGCTGCTGATATTTTATCATTTGTGCTGGCATTCGATGTGATTATTGTTCGCCAAACTAGCTTACTGGCATCGACGTTGAAAATTCTGGCCATTGGTGCGCTCCTGAGTGGATAATTGCTAAATAAAGTTTCAGCACCAAAAAGGGTTAGGGGTATAATTACACTTGTTAGTAGATTGGGGGTGATAAACCACGATTCGAGCAACTCGTCGCTCACGCGATCATCAGCTCTCACGATATAATCGGCTTCCTCGAACTTGAGTGTGCGCTCGGGTCTCCTCGAATGAACCGTTACCTGCGAATTGGCGTCATTTCTCCCTACGCCAGTGGCATATTACGAGTTAAAAGCATGTTTGTTATGGATACACCTCTCGCATGTAGCCCAAAAACCACTTCGCACACATTGCGAAAGGCATGCTCTTGGGGTACAAAACTGACAGTGCAGCTAACAGCCTACCGTTTTTAACTGTTATTCTAGTCCAACATGGGAAAAGAAAAACGCTAGAATTTTTCGATGTAGCATCCTCTTGCAGCTTATCAAGCTTCATTTTCTGGGTATGCGTGCAGTCGTTCAAATATAACTAGCTATGGCATGCAGTCGACGGCGTTGGGTGTGTTTAAAGAAATTTACACGAGCAAGGAATAAAATGACTGTGCTATCTCATGAATGATCAAAAAAATTCGGAAACGCGATTTTTATTCCCAAAAGGGGCTTGCGTACGTTCCATACTTCACTTTTACTGTAGGATATTCCATCCACGTCAGGTGTTTGACACCCCTTTATCCCAACGGAAGAGACGTTCATTTTGTCAAGAATGATTGCTTCAGTAGTGTGCTTTTTTTCTGCAATGATTTTCGATGTCTTAATAAAT